GCAGGAAGAGATCACATGACAACAACCACCCACCGCCTGTTCTCCCGTATTTTATTGAGCATCCATTAAAATGGGTGATTCTTTTATGTTTTGCTATCTAATCCTAATACCAGCTCTGATCCGCTCCTAATTCAAGATCAGCGTGCATTAGTACTACTCGTGATGTGATGTTGGGGAATCTGTGTGATGAGCACAGTAGTAGTAGTATGAGGGCCTGTTCGGTGATTTTGTCCGTACAGTGCCAGGGCCGTACAGAAAGTGGATATTTACCTTTTGACAGTGTAAACCTTCATTATTGCTGCCTTCTCTATATGAATATTAATCTGCTTGGCGTTCTGGCATTACTTTTATTACTTACAAGCGGTTTTTATCATGATGATTATCATGCAATTCCAGTGAATGTGTTGCAGTTGAAAATCCTGTTATATTACTACTTTCTCACATCAAATATCAGTGAAAAATGGATCTTGATAAGTCTCAGATTGATCTGACATCACAATACTTTGATGAACCCTTGATAAGCAAGAGTCAGCAGTCTGAATTCTCAACATTAATCATGCAAGCCACACAGTGAGTCTTTTCACTCTATACCCAGTGAGTCTGATGAGACTCTCAAATTCAAACTGATTGGACCTCTGACATGAAACTGACCATGCTCAATACCTTCATTGATGTCAAAAAATGAGGTTTGAAGATAAACAACAGCAATTATAAAAATGTTGTTTGACTTTCAATTATTTGATGCTGTCAATCAACATACACATCAATTTATTATCAAAAATATATGTGAGAATTGATGATTGAAAGATTAAAATGATTTGAAAGTTATAATATAAACATCAACAACAGATATCTGAATGATTATTCTGTCAAGAAAAAATGACATTTATCAATGATATTGAAATTATCAGTGTATATTTCAATGAATACTCAGAAATGCAACAATTTCAATATTGAAAATTTATATATTCAGAACTTATTAAAAAACTGTTTGATGATTGATTAACAATAAATGATTATGCTATAAAATATCACACTTATCAACAAAAAAGAATAGAAGAGATGATGAGTGAAAATATTAATAATATTAAAATAAAGGAAAAATTGATATTTATATTTACATTTTTGTTAAC